AGCTCCAATTTGCTACCCACGGATCGCAAATTGGAGATTCTATGGCCTTGGATCTTCTCTGGTATACTATCCCTTTATTTCGGCCAATTTCTACTATTTTTCCAGCGATCCGCGGTGCCTGGTAGAGGCCATGCTCCAACACTGGTAGTAACAGGAGTAGGTAACGCCCTTGAAACAGGAATATTTACGAAGGTAAATTATATTGTCTCAATAAATACTATTGCGTGCCAGTTCCGTTGCTAATCGTCTGGGTGACTGCATGCATTGGGATTTGAAGTCTTCCAACGTATGTTATGCAAGGCATGCATGCCGACTACTTGTTCTTCCATAGTAAGGCCACACCAATTTAATTTGTTGGTTGTCGGATTCGCCTCTTCGTTTTTTGCTGATTTGCAAAAAAAAAAAATTTATTCTGGTCCTGAATCAACTGAAAAATGCTCATGTTTTGCCCCCAACAGTTGAGGAAAGTCCTTTTCTTGCTAATTGTTACAGTTTTCCCATCTATCATTGCAGTGGTATCATTAAAAGTTCAAAATTCAATGTTTAAATTTTAACCCAGCCTTTTGTGTTGACTTCATGGCTCATTTCATAGCATTTAAGCCTGCCTAGACCTGTTTTTATTTATTTATTTTTTCGCCCTGTCGCTTCATATTTTTTCTGAAAAAATCCGAGGACCAACAAATTAAATTGGTGTGGCCTTACTCTTAAAATTCAAAAGTCCAACTTTTTAAATCCTATGTGCTAACGCTTGAACTGACAGGCATGTTCACCTTTATATGAGATGATATGAAGAACTGGTGTATTGTGTCACATGGCCTTATGATGATAGATGACAGTAATATTTTTAATGTGCGCGCTGTACACAAACCATAGATTTATGAATTAATCATGTAGATAAGCAACCTATTCACCAGTGTGAGCATGGCAGTAAGTTCTTGATGTACATAATTGCTTCACATTAGCTAGATTAAGCACCGTAAACGGATGGCATAGCAGGGCTCGATACACCTGTCTGGTGCAGGTACATCTTGTAATTTTCAATGATACCAGCACCAGTACAGGTATGCAGAAAAAAGTATTTAAAGGCATCTGTAACATAACAGTGAGGGGTTTATAGGCGCTACCAACAGATCCGGCAAAAGGGTCTAGACCTTTTTAGCGGAGAGGTTAGAGTGTCTGCCTGTGGACTGGTGCCCGGGTATGGTCGTGGGGGGAATCCAGCTCGGGACCAAGGGGTTTTTATCTGTTTCTACTGTCTCCTCCTGGTTTCTTACACATCCAATGCTATTTCAGGGCAGCAAAACTGGAAATATTGTGAATAAGACAATTTTTATGATATTGACACATACTGCTTCACAATAGCACATTTCAATCACCATTTCATACTTTGGGCTTCTAAACCTGCAAAAACAAGCCCCAAGATTAGTTCTTTATTTTCTGGGTGGTACCCTAAAATCAGCCCAGGGCCCTTCCAGTAACCATTTTCCGTTAGAATTTTGGGAATTTTTTGCTCCATGAGGTTCAATATATAATGTACATTGGAATAGTGTGGTTTCAACTCAAGTGTGTACTAGATAAGTAACTAGAATATTGACATTGAAAAATCGGGTTTCCAAGCCCTAAAAACTGCACTGAATGCCTTTAAAGCCCTGATGAAGCTAATATTGTAATCACAATAGGATAGGTCTCTAGAACACATAACACAGTTTCATACTGCACAGTTTCAACTAGCAACTGCAAGTTTATCTATTTTCTTAATTTTGCTGTTGAAGGAGAATGGAGTTTTTTTCGTAGTTGATACAGTTCTGTAATGCAGTGAAACTGCCACAAGCATCTGCATGGACAGCACTTAAATCAATGATGGAATGAAATCCTGGATGATTATCCTTCATAAACTTATCATTTCATACACTTGTGTGTTCCATGCCTACAGCTATATAATTCACATGAATGCCTACCATACGTACATTGCCAGAAGTACAACTTAGTAGTGGTACACACAAATTATTTTTACTGTACTTTGTACTTTTTATTTTTACCGAAGGAAAACATATTGTTTTGCTCAGTTTCCTCATTTTTCTACCTCCATGGTTTCCTCAAACACAAAAGGTCAATGACCTGAACCAGACGTCTATCACTATGGTAACTGGTGTTGGGTTACATCATGTTGTAATTTTATAACAGGAGGGATTCAGACTACAGTCACCACAATAAAGGTCATATACAGTGTATGAATGTATTTGAGGAAGAATTAACAGAGCAGACCATATGCGAAGGTAAACATTATGCATTTGCTTTGCAAATGTTATACCTTTCTAGTATACATTTTGAACAACTAAGAGTTAGTGTTCCCACTCCCTACAGCTATCTACATGAATACCTACCATAGACTTTATGGCAGCCCAGAAGAGAAGTCTGGTGTTCAGACCCTGCCAGGGTCCCAGGGTGTCACCTACGAGCTGTGTGCAGGGATTGTGGATAAAGACGTCAGTCTGAAGGAGATCGCCCAGTCAGAAATCCTGGAAGAAGTTGGCTTTCAAGTACCCCTGGAGAAGATAGAAGAAGTTACCTCGTACAGGTAAGCAAAATCAGTTTGGGACGTCTATAAGGTTTCTTTCATAGCCTTCTCTCTTAGGCCACACCAATTTAATTTCTTGGTTAACGGATTTTTGAAGAAAAACAATGGAGCGGGCGGGCGAAAAATAAAATAAAAATAAAAACAGGCCTAGGCATCCTATTATGGCCCAAAATGGTACAATAGGAGCCATGAAGTCAACACACCAGGCTGGTTCAAAATTTAAACAATGAATTTTGAACTTTTAATGATACCATTGCATTGAAAGATGGAACAACTGTAACAAATAGGATGAAAAGGACTGTCTTCAACTGTTCAGGGCAAAATATGAGCATTTTGCAGTTGATTCTGAATTTTTATTTTTATTTGCAAATCAGAAAAAAATGAAGCGGGTGAATCCGTTAACCAAGAAATTAAATTGGTGTGGCCTTATAATTAGAGAGGGTTCTCACCAGGATTTTTTCACAGCATAGGGGTCAGGTACAGAAGGGCAACTTTAATTTTGAGACACTAGTATTTCTTGCTTATTGAAGGACAAAACTACTGTCTTGGACATTTCCATGCAGAGAGACAGCAGTGGATAAAGACCAGGTGTTTGGGTGTGTGTGACAGGTGATAGATGATGTACAGGTGTCCCCTATTGTGTCTGATTTCACAGTTCTAGACTCCTTTGATACCTGTGTTTTTTTGTTGTTTTTTCGTTGTCATGTAAAATTTGATATTGTGTTTATCAAAACGGATTCAAAGGGAATTTGCTCTCAAGTCTTGCAACAAACAAATTGTACATTAATTGTACCTGCACCCCTCAGAACTTAGAAATTACAGATCATACTAAAAAAACTGCTCAGAAATTATTTTTGTTATTCCTTTATACAATGACTTTGTACTTCATAGATGTAGGTGGTAACAGTCAATGCAGCAAATAAAAATCCACTTTAAAGCTTATATATGCATGTACACCCAAATACCTGCACATCTCCAATTTTACCTGCACCAACCTGCATATTATGCAGGTGGTATTCAGATGTTCTTGAATCATCCAATGTACTGAATAGCAAAGTTCTTTTTATCACAACCATTTATTTTTCGAGCCAACGTTTCTATGACCTTCTGTCATCTTCATCAGGGTAATTCTGACTGGTTTACTGTGCACTGACACTAGATGTTACTTGGTGCATAGTGCACTAAAGGTGTTACACCTTTGCACCTTTTACACCTCTGCACTATGCACCAAGTAACATCTAGTGTCAGTGCACAGTAAACCAGTCAGAATTGCCCTGATGGAGATGACAGAAGGTCATAGAAACGTCGGCTTGAAAAATAAATGGTTGTGATAAAAAGAACTTTGCTATTCAGTCGTTTACCAACCTGATGAAATTATTTACGGATCATCCAATGTACTTAAAGCATAAGTACATGTAGAACACCTGTTACTAGTGTTAGTGGCCACCTGCTGAGCAAAAGAATGGGCGCCGTGCAGGCAGGTCGTGAGAAAGTAAAGGTTCAGGTTTGATCACTTGTGAACAGTCTCTGATTGTCTCCCCTTATACACCTACAATGTAAGACCCTTTATGTCATACCTGGGCTGCGATTACGTTTGATACGGGTGTTCCGGCCCGTGTGATAAGTAGCGGTACGGCCCGGGGGTTCTTGACGCGTACGGCCCGGGCTTTCTAATGTTCCATAGAACGATTCGAACGCGTTTCGCCCTAACTGCTTTCGAAAATTCGAACACAAAATTCGAACGTTGGAATTGATGTTGTTGCATTTTTGGGGTTTAGGCCACACCAATTTAATTTCTTGGTTAACGGATTTTTCTAGAAAAATAATGGAGCGGGCGGGCGAAAAAAAATAAAAATAAAAACAGGCCTAGGCATCGTATTATGGCCCAAAATGGTACGATAGGAACCATGAAGTCAACACACCAGGCAAGTTCAAAATTTTAACAATGAATTTTGAACTTTTAATGATACTATTGCATTGAAAGATGGAATAACTGTAACAACTAGGATGAAAAGGTCTGTTTTCTACTGTTCAGGGCAAAATATGAGCATTTTGCAGTTGATTAAAGGATTTTTATTTTTATTTGCAAATCAGAAAAAAATGAAGCGGCGAATCCTTAACCAAGAAATTAAATTGGTGTGGCCTTAGTGACAACATATTTTTGCTCATTTTGCATCGAAAGGCGTGTGTTTTTGGGTGAGTATGACATAAATAAAATACAACACGGTGTATTCCGCATCACCCTTGGTCCCTTCGGCCGTCGGGCGATCTTGAATCAAAGCCATTTGTACAATTATTGAGTCAGCATTTGAGAATGTATGAACCTTGTTTTTCAGCTCGCCTTGTTTTTTTTCGCCCACTTGCATTACATTTGGAGTCTGTGGAGGATGTCATTCATAAAATTTACTTGCTGTGGCCTTATCTCGCCTCAGCATGCCCTTGATTTAGTTCACCACAGTTCATGCATGCTACTGTGGGTAAACAAGTGTGATGCATTGTGAGGAAACTGATAATCAGTGACAAGCTGTCAGGCTTGACGTCTTTCACGTACAGCTTTAAAGGCTTTAGATATCTGCTGATGCTGGCATTGACTTAGGCCATGAGATTGCGTTATCACGTTGTACCTTACCTTTTACAACAGCCACTCCTGCGAAAGCTGTCAGCTGGCATCATTGTTACCCGGCACTTATCGGGAGTCGACATTGTGTAGCAAGGCGTTTAAAGTGCCGTTATCTGGCTGATTAAGCTGAGACTGATAACTCTTCTGAAGTGCTATTGTTGCCACATTCCAATATGATAAGGGACCGAATCTACAAAGTGGCTTGGTAGCAGCATATTTTGTTTTTAGACATGTGTAAAATAAACTAGAATTAGTAGAAAGGCCGACATTTGCTCGGGAGCAAATGCAGCACATGGCTTCACCACATCCCCCATAACAAAAATGGATATATAACATCCGTGTCCATGATATCACCAGGGTCCATAATATCGCCACCTTGAGAAAAAGTGTGCTTAAAGATATTTTTACTACAACATACAACATATGTACATTTGAGATGTGAAGGAGTGCATACCAAAAGTATGTTGCAGTAAAAATATCTTAAAGCACACTATTTCTCAAGGTGGCGATATGGACCCTGGTGATGTTATGGACACGGATGTTATACTGCTCACGCACAAATGGACTGTTCCTAAATCAACCCTGTCCAACTTGTAAAGTGTTCCAATAGTCTATACCCCCATGCAGCAATGGAATCTTCCAACGCCTTCTGCTGTCGGAACATGTCGGTACATTGTAACTGTGTAAATGATATGATTATGACTCGATTTATACGCGGACAAAAACGTGGTGGTAAAAAAACTGCACACACACCTGATATGTGAGGTAAAAATGTCACTGATGGAAAACACTTGTTTCATTAGGATGGTTCTACATGTATTTACATGTATGGGCATTAACCCAAAAAAGATGTCTCGGGGAGTTTTGGAGGCTATTTAAAACACTTCATGTATGAAATCAGATGAAAATGTACAGAGAAATGTCAGTAAATGCCAATAATCATATTTACTCATCTAGAATATTTCTAATTTTGCCTTCCTGAAATTACATTGGATGACTTAAACTTGCTAATACACCATTGAACATTGCTGATTCTACGTACAAGGATCCCCCCATGCAGACCCTTTCTGACATGACTGAGAAATAAATGGTTTCCAAGTCAAGATGTTTTAATGTCAAATGCTGTAAGCATCTTCAGTTCTGTGGTGAATGCATGTGGGGAGGGGGGCACATGGAACAATTTATGTCAAACAAAAAAACATTGTCCAGCAGTCGAGGCAAACTGGCTGGTTTCTCCATGATTTCTCATTAGTTATTATTAATAATCAACATGGCCGAAAATGATGTGGTCACCATGGGCAGGTATCAGGCCTTGAGCGGACCCAACTTAGGGCAGTCGTGTTTGCGTTGGCCAGGTGGTCACCTTGGACAGGTTGCTTAACCCTTGTCCTGCGGGGCCCATATATATATGGGTTGCACATACAGTACCATCTATATAGTGCCCTGTATATGTGCGATTTGGGGGTGTTTCTCGTGCAACGCATCACACCGCAGCGAAACGCAACGAATGCGAAAGTAACTGCGCCACCGCAGGGCAAAAAAGTCAAGGGTCTGTAACCTGATTAAGACATGAAATTATTTGAAAATATTGTGTAAAAATTGCCAGCAGGACAAGGGTTAATGCTTGTGTCAATGGGGAAAATTTTTGGGACCAAGAAAAAGCGGTCACCATGGACAGGTGGCCTGCTTGAAGAGGTGGTCTCCTTGGCAGGTTTGACTGTATACAGCATATTGTTAATTAATAACATCCACGTGTCAGAAAAATAATAGAATCATTGTTATAGTTACTGTACTTTTCTTAAGAAAATTTTGTGCACCCAATTTTTCAGGTTGCGTGCACCAGTGCACCTATTCCCAAAAATGAATTTTCAAGCCCTGTAATGTATTTTCTCTGGCTTTAACATAGAAGAACTTTATTGCACGACAATTGTACAGGGTACATTGTATGGCAAATACTAGTAGGTAACAATAAGTAGCATAGTAAAATAGATAGGTATAGAATAAAACTTAACAACTTATATATAGAAAAGAAATAATCAAAAGTTAGCTTAGGCTTTACAATCAGGCGGAGTTATCTATGGGTACATGTGAAAGCAAATCAGTATTCATATAACAAGGCCCATGTGTCTGTATATTCATGATGTATTTCTTTAGAAATAACAGGGCCAGTTCCAGATCTGCATAACGCAATTACAATTTAGTGTCAGGCTTTTGTTTGACAGGAACATAAATCTTGTCTTATTAACATGATTACTGAAATAGTTGATGCCACGGACCCATTTATTATTGATTGCAGTCATAATACAAATGCCACTCATCAAATATAAACATTTTTTCTCTTAATCAATCTTTATTTGCAAATTCATGCCCGAAGGCTAAT